CTTTCTCCTTCCACTGTTTCTTTTTCATTCTCAAGCATTTGTCTGTCCATGTTAGCACTACTCTTCATCTGATTGACTTGTTCTAGCTCTTCACTGATGGTCTTCATGGCAGCTTCAGTCTCTTCTGTTTTCTTGTTGAGATCTTTTCTCAGAAGTTCCAGTTCATCTCTTTCTGCTTGTACGATGTTCCTGCTTTTCTGCAGTTCTTCTGTTTGTTTCTTGATGTCAGCGTCTTTGAGATAGAGTTCTTTTTGTTTCAAAACAATCATATTTGTCACCTTCTGAACCTTGTCCTTCTCTGTCTGACCCTGATGCACCATCTGTCTTATGTTGCTTTTTTCTCTGTTTATCTCTTCAAGGACGCTGCTGATGTTTTCTTTCTCATCTTTTAGCTGGGTCATTGTGATCTGAAGCTCATCTTTTCTCTCTTTAATTTCTTGTATGACTTGTTCAAAGAGGTTCATTTGTCTCTTCATGTTAAACTTCATCAGCTCTAAGTCCAGTTTCTCCTTGGTCATTATGTCAGAAGTACTTTTCTGATCCTCTCTCCCTTTCGTCATCTCAGCCTTTAGTTCTACACTGACTCGCGTTTCCAAAACAGGCTTTGTCTCCACCTGATCTTCTGCTTCATTTATGCTGTGGAGCATGTCTGATATCATAGTAATAAGACCTTGCTTTTCTCTTTTGAACTCTTGAATGTGACCAGGTAGTTTGTTCTGAGCTGCATGAAATTCTGTTTGTTTTTGCTCCAACATCATGCACAGCTTTTGCACATCTTCAGTATGTTGTGCTAATTTCTCCGTTTTGGTTTTTAGACCTTCTTGTGTTGTTTCAGTGAAACGCTCGAGTTTTGCTCTAAGAGTTTCCATGGATTTCATTGTACTATTTAACTGATCAGCTTTCACGTTCAGCTCAGACAATTCTTTAATTCTTTCCTCATCATTTGAAAGCATTGCCCGCTCCCCGTAAAATGCAGTCTTCATTTTCGTGACTTGTTCTCTCTCTTCACCGATGGTGGTAAGGGCAGCTTCAACCTCTTTTTTCTTCTTGTTGAGATTCTTCCTCAAAGTTTCCAGTTCTTTTCTTTCTTTCAGTAAACTGTTCTTAACAGTTTCCAGTTCTTGTGTTTGTCTCTTAAACTCATCGTCCTTGAGTTCTTGTTCTTCTTGTTTTAAGATAATCATGTTCATGACATTCTCAAGTTTGTGTCTTTCTGTCTGAAGCTGAAGGGTCAGATCTTTGATGTTGCCTTTCTCTCTATTTATCTCATCAAACTGACTGTCTGCATGTTCTTTCTTCTTTTGTAGCTCAGACTGTGTGATTTCCAATTTGTCTCTTTGCTCTTTTATATCTTGTATTGCTTGTTTTAATGTGTCACTTTGTTTCAGGATGTCAGACCTCATCAGCTCCAAGTTNATGTCAGACCTCATCAGCTCCAAGTTACGCTTCTCTTTGTCCATCTTCTCACGCTCTCTGTCCAGATCCTCTCTGTCTTTCTTCAGCTCTGCCTTCAGTTTTTCAAGAACTTCATGTTCTTCAACAATGTTCAGCTGCCACTGCTCTTTCACATCGTCCTTTTCAATGACCACATTGGACCATCTTGTCTTACTTTGTTTTTGATCTTTTTTACCATCGCTCAACTCCTTTTCTCTTTACATCTTCAGTTTCATGATCTCCAGTTCATCCCTCTCTCTGATGATCCTCTCCAGTCGCTTGTCAAGCTCTTTCTTCCTCTTCTGTGTCTCCCTCTTGATGGCATCTTTTTCTCCTTTGATCTCAGTCCATATGTTTTTAGCATCCTGCTGTTTTTTAATGCCTTTTCGGATCATCTTATGATTTTCTCTTATTTTGATCTCCAACTCGGACTTCAACACTTCCATTTCTCTTCTTTCTTTTTTAACTTCTTCTAATCTGATTTCAATCCCCTGTTCTTTTGTCTGGATATCATCCCACATGTGGACCATTTCATCCATCTCTGCTTTTGCTTGTATTGTCATTTTGTCAAAGGTCATCTTTATCTGATGTTTTATTTGACTCATGTTGTCTCTCACAGTCCTACTCTCAGCTTTTAATGCTTTGAGTCCTTCTCTTTGTTTCCCTAAACAAACATTTACATTTTCAAGGATTCCCATTTCCCTCTTAATTATTTCCAAATTTACATGAATCTTTTGTCTCAAGTTCTGAAGGTCAAAACTGAAATCTGTGGCTTTTGAGCTTAGATGCATCTTTTCAGCTTCCTTGCTGATGGTTCTTACTGCTTGTGTTTCCAGACGTTGTTTTTCATTTTTTCTGTGTACTTGGATAAAAGTAGTCTGGTCTTTATTTCTCTGCTTCTCTTCAGCCAGCTCCTCCTCCTGCTGTTGCAGTTTTATCTCCAACATTTCTGACTCACCCCTCTCTGTCACAATTTCTTCAGGCCTTTGGTCTACTTCTCTTATGCTCTTTTTGGTCTCTTTCCTTAATTCCTCTTTTTCTCTTTGAATGTTATTCCACTTTCTTTCACTCTCAATTTTTCGCATGTTTTTTCTAAATATTTTTTCACTTTCTTTTTTCTTTATTTCTAGCTCTGACTTGAGCAGCTCCATTTCTCTTATTTCTCTTTTGGTTGCTTGCACTTTGTCATCAAGCTCCTGTTTTTGTCTTTCCATACTCTCCCTTAAGTGTTTCATCTGATGCATTTCTGCCTCAGCTTGTTGTTTTTCCATTCTCACATTCTCCCTCTCCACTTGAATCTGTTGTTTCAGCATCTCAATATCTTGTCTCTCTGTCTTTTGTTTCACTTGGTCACTTACAGCCTTTTTCAGCTGTTTAATTTCACTCTTTCTCTGATCCAAGTTATCCATTGTCAGTTTTCTATCCCTTTCCAGTTTCTCCTTTTCTGATCTGAGTCTGGAGATTTCATTTTCCATTTCTTCCAATTCTTTACCCATTCTTCTCTGGATTTTGTCCCTTTCCGTATCTGTTTCAGCTCTGTCATGTTTCTTTATGTCTCCTTTTACATTCTCAAGACTTTCCAAGGCAGATTCTCTGTCCTTTTTCTTCCTGAGTTCAGTCTTGATTTTTTCAATGTCAGCTCTTTTATGGGATATTAAAGGACGGCTGTTCTCCAGTTCTTGTTTTGTGGCCTCAATCTTATCGCTCAGGTCTTCCAACTGTCTCAGTTTGACTTCGGTCCTTTTTATAATAATCCCTACGTCTTCACTTTTCTGTCTTGTCTTCTCAGCAATTTTCTCCATGGTGCTTTTAACTTTGCCCATTTTCTCCAACTTCTGCTCAGTCACTTCAGTTTGTCTCTGTATTTTTATTTTTAAAATATCAAATTCATCTCTCTCTCTCAAGGTTTTTTCTAACCTCTGATCCAGCTGTCTGTTCTGTTTTTTTGCTGCAGTTTTCATTGATTTCATGTTGCTCATTTCTTCATTCAGATGCATTTGCTTTTGCCTCATTGTAATTTGTACCAGTTTCAAAAGCTCTTGGAATTGTTTCATGTCCTGGATCAATCCTTCGTGTTCACTGCCTTCATCCTTATGCTCTTTGTCTATATAACTTTCTTCAGCTTGATTTTCAAGTTCTAGTTTTACTAGTTTCATGATTTCTCGTGTTCTATGAATCTCTGCCCTAAGTTGTTGTACATCAGCACTTCCTGTGTCCTTTTTATCAGAACGTCCATCTGGCTCTTCAGTATATATCAGTATATTTTCTCTTGACTCCTGAGGTTGTTTTTGCTTCTGAACATCATCAATAACTTCTTGTTTCACCCGATTGCCACTCTCCTGTTTTCGCACTCTCATTTCATATTTAACTATTTCATGTTTGAAAACATCTGTGCTTTCTCTGACTGTAATTTGTAACCCATTTTCATAATCTGGTTTTTGGCTCTGCAGCTCATTTATTTCCATAATGAGCTTTTTAATCTCTTGATTGTTTCCCTCCATGTTTCCCATAGCAATGTTCATTTGCTCCCTCATTTGCTCCTCTCTCTCTTTGAGTTTGGAAATCTGCTTTTGCACTTCTTCCATTTCTCTTACATTTATCAGTAATTCTGTTTGATCATCATCCATTAATGTTTCTTCATGAATTTCTGTCTGCGTCTGTAAGAAAACATTCTGCTCTTTCTTCAAGTCCACAGCAAAAAAATTGAGCTCTTGTGTTTGTTTGTACTCTGACTCAGTACTCTCCTGTTCTTTTATTTCTTCTCTTTGATGCTGGTCTTCTGGTGTTATAGATTGCTGCAAAGACATGGTCTCTTTTGTAATCTCCTCTTCTTCTCCTTCTTTGTCTATTGGAATTTTAAATGTTTGATCTTTGATAGCGTCTCCATCTGTTTCTTTCTGTGGTTCCTGAAGTTTAGATGTTTTCCTTGGAAAAGTCTTTTTGATTGGAGAGTCTGTCAGTGTCCATTTGCTGAGCTGAGCTTTCATGGAAGTCATCTTATCCTTCACAAAAAAGAAAGCATTGTCATGGTTTTTCTTATTGCTTCTCATGCGACCATGCTAGGTCAACAATCCAAAGAACTTTTAGTTTAATTAATTAATATTATCATTAGTTATATTGATTGAGTACTTCCCCCAGTAAAACAACTATGGGTGTAAAAGAGACACTCACACTGTCAAACTCACACTGACAGGAAGCATTGTCAGATTAAGTGTTCAAATATATGACTAAAGCAAAAACAATACCAGACTGTTAAATTCTCTACAAGTAAAGGTTTGCATAAAAAAATGTTACCGAAGTAAAAGTATGTGCTATTGTAAATGTGATTTGAATGTCTATTGTCTATTTTTTTCTTTTTTTTTTTTTTACAGATACTTATTCTGTATTGGTTCAAAAAGAAACTAATGCATAAAGTAATTTAATAATTTATTAATCATCATCTTTAAAGTGCTGATACAACAATAAACAAAGACCAGCTAGTCTGGGATGGATGGATGGATGGATGGGTGGATGGGTGGATGGATGGATGGATGGCTACTGTAGTTATTTTCTTGTTTACATATTATTTTGTTGTACCAACAGCAAAGCAAAGAATCATTATGATTTTAAATTATTTTCTAGCATTATATTTACAAAGAACAAGTAAAAAGTCAAAAAAGATTTAATGTAAGATTTGAATGGGTTCAGTTCAGATGCAAAATGTAATTAAATGGAACAGTACTGAGAGCTACTTCCAAACCAAGCCCTCATCGGGTGGGGAAATAATATTTTATGGCTTGGAAAAACTTGAGATATATTAATGTTACATAAGTCAAAGGATAAGTCTGGTGATATTCCATAAGATCAAGATAGATCAAGTCAGCTAAGCTCACATTGGCTTTTATGTTACTCAAAAAATGTGTTTTACGTATTGTTACTTCATTTGTATGTTCCAAGCTTTACTGTGCAGAATGGTGTATGTGCAGGAGGAATCTTTAAGAAGTTTAGACTAAACATGGTCAGGATAGAATATCAGTCGCCTACAGTTATAAAAAAAAAAAAGGATATGAAGACTGTATCAATAATCTAGGCAGTGCAATCCATGGATTTACAGCAGTGTGATATTTAGTGATGATGACTTCTATTCTACTCAACCTGGACTCACAGAAATACAGGAAATGGCCAAGACCTTTTAACTTTGTGGTGGCACGGGCACAGGCAGCACCCTGAAAACACCACAAGTGGAAAGTCAAAAGGGATCCATTGTTATGGTGTTGTTTATCTGCTGTGAGGGTCCTAAGGACAGAGGGATGTCGTATGCTGTAAAGCCCTGTGAGGCAAATTGTGATTTGTGATATTGGGCTTTATAAATAAAATTGATTGAAAATTGATTGATTATGGTGGACACACAAATTCCCTAGGTTCAACAACATCATACAGTGGTCATTGGTTAATGTTATGACCCCATAGGTAGCATAAATGGTGAGAAAGATCGCAGGGGAGGAGGCTGGTGGATGGATCAAAGAAACACAAGATTTTGACTTGGAAAACCCCTGTTAATGTTTTGTGTGAAACATTGACAAAGTCAATGTTGACTTCTTTTAACTGAACTTACTTTCACAATTCATCATGTTACATGTTAGGGCCGGGCGATATGGCTTTAGTCTGGCAACCTGTCCAGGGTGTACCCCGCATCTCACCCACTCTCAGCTAGGATACCTAGGAGGATAGGATAGGATAACTATCCTACGTTTAAATAACATATCGAAAATATCTGCTTGACAACTTATTATGGAGCTGGGAACAAGCCCAAATAAGCAACTACACTTTAGAAACAAGCCCAAAAAAAACGCGACCCGCGACTACCAATATTTGTAAGCGACTTTACAGAAAAGTCGCTTATAATAAGCGGACTTGGCAACACTGGGTTGGAGCCCCGCTTGTACAGAAACACACAATCTGTTCACACACTATTGTTAAACTCATCAAGTTAAACTGTTACAGCGGTGCCATTAAACATGGATGATTTATTCACTGGAAATTGGAAACAACAAACAGCTCTCCAGTTCATATATTAAAATATGTGCAAGTCACACTGGTGCTCCATGGCCGCAGAATAGTAGCTGTCTGGAGCTGTGATCTGGAGCTGATCTAAATGGGAGGAGTGTGTGTAAGGTATCATGTTTGTGAGTCTTTATGTATGTGTGCCTGCGAGAGGAATACAGGCATTGGAGAGAGAAAGAGAACTGAAACACCAAAGCGAGTGTCATACCAGTGGCTTTAAAAAATGACAATTTATAGTAGATGTTTGTGTTATTGTCATTTTATATATTCAGATGTGGAATAAGCCACAATACTTGAGGTATATTCAGTATCGCTCAGCCCTAGTTACATGATGTACTTAGGGTATTTTAACTGAAAATATGATATTTTTCTAAACCTAACGAAGTAGTTTTGGTGCCTAAACGTGCTGCCACCATGTAATTTTAACACAATATGTGCCCCCACCACATATTGCGTAGGAGGCCATGGTCATTTTCATCTGTGAGACCACGTTGATTCTTCTGCTGATTCAAACCAAAATGAGTGACTTATGACAGTGTAAGAATGTGATCAGGCAAGAATGACGACGTGGAGGTTAAAGACTCTGCAGAAATTCTATGTCAAAGCTTTTTTTGCTCTATTTTATATTCTACCTTCCATTTTATTCTGTTCTTTAAAGTATAAAACTCATGATCAGTGACAAAACCTGGACCCTGGAATTGGCACAGCTAAAAAGAAAGAAAGCCATGCGCATTATATTAAATACAACTGCTTTCTGCTATGACATGCTAAAATTAGAAACTGCTTATTACTGGTCCAGGATTAAAAAGTAAAAAAGAGAAAAGATTTACTTACCATGTAGTTTTTGACCTCTTCCTTGTTCTGATCCATCGACCTTTGGGCTTTGACTATCTCCTCCCTGGTGGTGTTCATCTCTGCAGCAGCTGTTTCTATGCAAGCTTTTATTTCCCCAAAAGTCAGAATTGTAGTTATTGTATCTTCCAGTTTTTGTTCAACCTCCTTCCTGTGTTGTTGTATCTTTACCTTCATGATTTCTAACTCATCCCTCTCATTCATGGTCTTCTCCAGCCGTTGGTCAAGCTCTCGTCTCTTTTTTTTTACTTGAAAATTCATCCATTGGATTTCGCTCTTTTCCTGTGTACAGTCCCTCCTGCTTTGCTCTGTATCTTCTCTCACCCTGCGCAGCATCTTTCTGATCTCTTCTATGTCGAGGATCACTCTCTTCATGCCAGTGTTCACTTCATTCTTTGAGCTTGTCTCCATGTTGTCTTCCTCAAACTGATTTTCAGATCTGTTCTCCACATTCAACTCCATCCCCTGCCCCTCAGTCTTATCTTGTCTTTCCTTCATGTCTTCTTTAGCATGTCCACGCTCCTCCCCCATCTTGCTGATCTCTCCCCTTTTTCTCTTGCTCACTCTAATCATTTTTGCTAGGTCCTTTTTCTTTATTTCAATCTCAGAGCTCATCACTTCCATCTCTCTTATCTCTTTCTTTGTCTTTTGTAACTTGTCATCCAGCTCCTGTTTTTGCCTTTCGATATTTTCCCTCACACACTTCATTGCATTCATTTCAGCTTTAGCTAACTGCCTGTCTCTTTCTATGTTTTCTTTCTCTATTTTTATTTCAGCCTTGGTTTTTTGTATTTCATCTCTTTCAGACTGGATTTGTGCCAACTTGTTCTCTATGTCTTGTTTTTGCCTCTGCAGATCAGCCTTTATCTCTGGTTCCCACTGTGTTGTCTTCATGCTTCCATCCTTGTCTTGTCTTTGCTTTTTGGAGTCAGATGTAACATCTTCATTTCGACCACTCTCTGTCTTTAGCTCCTGCTTCTCTCCCACAGTCACTTCTACTTGTTGTTCACTATCTTCCAGCACATCCCAAAGTTTCTCCATCTCTTCCTGGATTCTGCAGAGTTTAATCTTCACAGTGTCAAATGTGTCTACGTCGTCTTCCTGTCTTTCTCTGCTTTCCATCTGTGGGACTGCAGCTTTCTGCATTTCAACAGCTCTTTGAGTTTTTGTTTGCTTCATTGTGTTGGTACTTACATTCAGAATAAGTTTGATGTGCTCAATTTTATCTTTATGTTGGGAAATATCCTTTTTATTTCTCTTTAACTCTTGCTTGAGGTCTGCTATGTTTTTCTCCATTTGTTCTTTTTCCTGCTTTGCTTCAAGCATCATTTTCTTACTTTTTTTAATTAGACTCTGCAGACTGTCAGCTATCAGCCTCTCTGTTATCTCCTGCTCTCTCTTTGTCTGCTCCATGGGTTTTTGAGGTTCCTTGCTTTCTTGTGATTTTGTCTTATCATGCTTGACCATTTCTAACTTGTGTCTCTCATTCATGAGCTCCTTGCGACTTTTTTCCAGAGTTTCCCTCTCTTGGTATATTTCAGTCTGCATTTTTAGAAGTTGCTTTTTTTCTTGAGCGGCTTCATTTTTATGCTCCTCGAGTTTCTCAATAACATTTTCTATCTGTAATCTCAGTCTTTTTATCAGTAAGTCTTGCTCATGTTTTTCAGCTGTCAGCCTGGCAATGTCCTCCTGTTGCTGCTCTGTATTTGTCTTTAGGTAGTCAATTTCCTTTCTCCCTCTTTGTGTCTTTTCCAGAAGTTGTTCAACCTCCCCCATTACCTGACATGTCAATTCTCTTTGTCTTTTAATAGTATCCCTTTTGGTTTTTATGTAGACTTTTGTGTGTTTGTCGTCTAATTGCTTGCTGTTTTCCATTGTCCACTTCTGTTCTGTTTGGGTCGTCCTGCTGTTCTGTTGTCTTAGCTCTGCTGATCAAGAAAATGGACAGGATATCACTTGTCATTTCAAACTGTATCCTATATTATGTTAAACCAGGCCATAAAAAAATCTTTTGACTACATATGAGAGGGTGGAACGGTAGTGCAGAGCCACTTGAAAAACACATTTCAAGCATGTTTATCTTTGTTAGTGACACCAAAAGGAAGAGAAGTATATTAAGAGCAGACATTTTTCACAAGGCATTGACAGAATTAAACATATATAAAAGCAAGTACAACAACATTTCATTTATTTATTTATTAGTAAGACACACTCCTTCACACTGGCCAGGTGACAGTGCATCACTAATTTTTCAGCATACAGTCAGAGAAGTTTTCATTTCTTTTTCCTGTCTCTTCTTTCAATCTCTCTCTATCCCCACTCACTGCAACCTTCGCTCTCTTCTCTTTGCTGAACTCTGTCTCTCATCTCATTGAAATGTTATTTAGAGTATATGCCTACTATAAATTGTATCAATCACAAACTTTACATAAAGATAGACAACATGACAGCTCCCCAAAAGTGGAGCCAAAACATCTCTATCACCCTCTGGTGGCTGGCTGCAGTATAGGTCATAAAGTCTGCCACCTCTGTGTTAGCAGATGGACGTGGGCCAAATTAAACATGAAAATGTCAAAAAAGACGGTTTCTGCCACTTTAGGTAGTTCTTATCACACTGATGTATGGTTAAGTTTGTATTTTTCTCATAAATTTGGGTATAACTAGCTTAGTCGGGGGTTTGGCTTTGTTTGCGAATAGAAAGAATGTGAATAGAATCGAGTCCTAAAACCAGGGAAATGAGCCAGCACTTTTGCTCTCCCAATTCCCTCCTGTTAAAATCAATGTTTTTTTTTTAATGGGTTATTGTTTAGATTCCTAAAATAATGTCTGCCACTATCACAAGCTAAAGAGATTTTCACCTTTTTCACCTCTACTAAAATTTGTTAGTAAATAACCCACACATGAATTTATTTACTTTTATGCGTTGGTTATAAACAGCTGGCTAAATGAGACTGCAGAACATCATCACACCGAACATGGCTTTACAGCCCCACTGTGGTGGCAACATTAAGTCTTGCAACCATGTTGTAGTTCGTTTTTAACCTACCATTAGCTTTTTACTTGCAATCGCATTTACATCTTAAAAATCATAAAAGTGGTGTTCATTTGTCAGGATTATCTTGCTGAAGAAAACATGTAAGTATCATAAACGTTTGTTTGCCACCCAACTTATTTTATGCAGTAATCCAAAATTTTTGAGGAGGGAACCAGGGCAGTGCTAACGTCAGCATCAGCCTACAAAAAACATCATCCCTGCGTCACACTATCAAGGGCTCGCAGCCAACGGCGCTGTTTGTAATTGGTCGTATGGCGACTTACTGCAGAGATTGCTGCACTCTGTTTTGGCTTTATTTTTGTACAGACGGGGGAAGTGGAAGCACATTGTCTATCTTTATAAACATACATTGATATCCATAATATGCTACTGGTTTTGATTACTTATTGATAATGATTAGCAACATGTGATAGTTACAAGAAACAGGGTGGCAGAGGCAAGCTGCAACATTATTTCTTAATTTAATGCTGCAATGATTTCCCCAACAGCATTACAGTGCAACTGTTGCATAAAAGCAGCACCAAATCTGGAGTGGTGGCGACTGCAATGGTCTACCCACTGAACATATTAGAGTAGGCTAACCACACAACCATGAATTGTGTTTTGCTTTGATTTTTATTGGCTAAGCCTATGAGCTATTTGCACAATGCCACTACATGGCAAAAACTAATTGACAGTGTTCCACCTGCATAAATTCACTAAGCATCATTTATCCATCAACATAGTAAAATGTGACATTAACTAAGTTCAGCTTCATTTTCAACTATTATTACGTTCATAATCCCTCAGATGATTAAACAATAGGCTGCACCAGCAGGTCCCATCAATGTTAGCTAGTATGCTAGCATCATAGTAAGACAGCAGGCTTGGTCTTGAACAATGTAATAATTTAATCATCATTCAAATAAAAGAGTAGCCGACATAAACTGTTCAGTGGGTCTGTGAACATAACTGTGTTCACAGACCCGCAACTGTTCATCTTTGGAAAAATGTCTTTGGGACAGGAGTCCAGCACCTCCATTAGTGAGGGAAAACAATGTCTTAGGCCTGCTTCTCTTTTTATCTGCTGTACAAGTCAGTTCAGGGCCTTCAACTGAAAGTCCATAATGTGCACTTGGTGACTGCAGTTCCGCTTGTCAACATCAGCGGTGTCACAATAATGACTTAATATCACAGCCTGTGACAGGCTGTCAAACAAAAGTTGGTGAAACGTGAGGCCAGGGCAGGGCCCCTGTCAGTGAATCAGCCCTGGGCAACTTGGCAAGGAGTTTAAATGAGCTGGCACAGCAGCCCAGCCTGGCCCGCCCCCAAGGGTGCAACATGGCATAGATGGGTGATCCTATAATATATCCATGGGTGGGACAGATGACAAGGGAAATCTATAGTATAGAGATTTTGTTTTTAAATTTGTAGCTAACTTCTACATTTGTCATGATTATGCTGGGTGTGCCAGTTTGAGATGTAGGTGCCACATCTGGACACACCCATGGCTATGTGGGTGCTGTAGCTTGAAGGTTCAGTAGGTAACGTTTATAAACATTACTTTTTATCATATTTGCTGAAACTGTCACTACACATTGACAGTGCTGTTGTTGGTAGAGCAGATGTGGTGGATTCTTGCAAATGCCATGAGGAGCACTGATTAGATTGTCTCATGTGTACTACTGTCAGGATATAGTGACACATTCAACAAATATGACAAAAAAATTGTGGAGGAAAATTGCATTAATCACCCTCACACACTTTACAACCTTCCCTTGACTACTTCTTGTTTTTGTTTCTTTACTTTTTTTTGGTTATGTTGGTTTAAAAAATGACTGCAGCTGTTTTGATTCAGGAGCGTCTTTTTTATCCACTGTCACAATTGTGTCATTTGTTATAGCACATTGAATTCCTCAACAGTATGCTGGTGTTTAAAACATGTATTACTATGCCATTTTACAGGTTTGGCTTACCTAAATCAGCTATTAGCTCGGGTTCCTCCTGTGAAAGTATCTGGTAGAAGCAAACTTTGGATTGTGATGTTCCATTTTCCACGACATGAAACAGCTCCCTGATTTGTTCCTGTGGTGTCAAAGTTTGATTGATGGTCGTCGGCTGCTGTGAGATCCAGGCTTGTATGATGGCTCCGGGTGATCTCACCCCAGCAATGATTTGCTCCCTGAACTCCTCCAGGAAGGCCCCCACTACAAATGAATTCAACTCTTAGTTCTCTAACCATTAGATATTTTAACAAGCAGAAATGTGTGCAGTGACTGGCAGTAATTTGACATTGGTGGTACTTTACTGTGCTGTCAAATGTTCTTTGAGTTTCCAAGGTAGGTTTTCATTTAATCATACATCCAGAATACTAAAACTAATCTTTTAAACATGCAACAGTCACAACATGTTTTGCAGAACAACCAACTTGCAATAGATTTCAACACAGTGTCAGTTTGGGGTAAATTTGACAGCAAGTTCAACATGTAATGACAATTCATAGTTGTAATACATACACACTATGTTTACAGGATATTGTCTGCATTTTTCAACCCCGACCCTATTTCCCCATGTAAAATGGTCAAGGAGACTGATGTGGACAACAATTTTTGAAATTTGTCTGGTACTGAGCGAGCCGACAGTGGCCAACAGGCAGGGAATGAGCTGTAATGGAAGCTGGATGAAGCTGCCTTTTTTCTCTCCCTCCTCGTCCTCTCTTCATGTACAATATATACAGTATCAAATTCAAAGGCCTGAGCCACATTATTGAAATTAGGTAAATAATCATCCATGATATTGAAAATCTTCTAGACAATACTAAAATACATTTTCTGTAATCTACTCTGGTTATTACACTCTTGTGATATTTCAGAACAAGACTCCTGCTTATAAAGGCAATAACAAACAGACTGGATCAAGTGAAAAGTAAAAAGATACTTGAGACACTTAAAATAACAATCTGAGCCTGTCTGAGTCAAAAATAGCCTCTTTTAATGGCATACAGTGACAGTGCTCAATTGCCCCATGTGCTTCCATTGCAGCTTGCTCCACGGCTGCTGCCCACTCCCTCAATACTGGAACAATTTCAGAAATTGTTGTTCACATCAGTCCCTTTGATCAGTTTAGACAGGGGAATAGGGTCCAGGTTGAAAAATGCTGAAGTTATCCTTTAATGCTGAGAACCACACAATACCTTTGAGGAATGAAATAAACTCACCATGGTCTCCTGGTTGATTTGTTTCCATATTACAAATTCAGAACTGTTGTTTTCCATTAGATCACAGGCTTGAGCAGAAATGATATAGAATTAGAATTCAGATAATTATAGAAAACCAAGCACACATTGTGTATTGAACCATTGCCAATTTATATTATTATTTATATCATTATTTTTTCCTTACCTCATCTTCTTTTTTTTTTGTCTGGAATCGCTTACAAAAATACAAAATAAATCACGTTAGGCTCAGAGTCCTAAAACACAAGGAACATTTTATCAAGTCATTTGCATGTCTGCTTCGGTGGTAAACCCTGTGGAGCTCTGCAGGAATGAACCAGGCTTGCACTATTATCTTCAAAACACTTTATATCTCCCCCCCCAAACCCCCCCCCCCCCCTTCCCCCACCTAACGTTTGTTGGTCATGGGTGGTCAGATAAATGTGACGCCCAGTAAGTGTGAGGGTATGATTGGATGGTAGGTGACATTTGGGAGGTGAAACCTCTTACTCTGTGAGTCTGGTCTCAGCTGATAAGGGTGGAGTCCATGTTTGGCTTGGTGGGATTCCCTCGACACTCCTGATGAGCACTGAGTAATCACGAGAACAGGAGGTGACTCCCATACTTGTTTTTACACACAGAAAGGGTGTGCTGTGTTTGGATACTTTCCCAGTGGCATTAGTTCTTGAATTTAGCATATGTAAATATGGTTGAAAATTACATTGCTGAATCATATTCCATCAAATACTTGGCTAATATTATTATGCAGTCTTGGTTAAACCAAACAGGTAACTACATGTACTCAGTGAGAAGAGCAGGGTCTGGGGAAATGTGGGATGTGAAAAATTGGGCTGAATCTTACTTTTCTAGGGACTGTGTGGAAATAAGTTGAGTGTAAAGGGCAAACATTCAAAAACATAAACATTTGCAGGTATTCCCTTTCACACAGTTATTCCCTAAGCTAAATACAAACATGACATAAGGTTAGAATATATCAGGTTTAAAGTCATCAGTCCTTTCTTTTAGTGTTTTGTAGGTGTAACGATTACATACATTTTTGGTTGTCAGTCCAGCCTACTGGATGATTTTGCAGACCTAAAAGTCCTATTGCTGCACTTTTGTGCCAGGTTTCATAGGCAAGTTAAACAGTGAGTAGCCTACTTCATGTAAACTGCTGCTGCAGAGGCTATTCCACTCTAACCAGACCTCTCTTAAAACAATATTGGTGGAACCATTTTGCTAAGGCACAAATAAAAACTTTACATTTGTAAATGGTTTGGGAGGCAGGGGATAACTTCACATGCTTCCTCAATATCTTCCACTTCAGTTTGGTGTGGTGATGACAGCATTACTACACAGGAGTGGACATGTATGAAATAATGCACATGTAATATCAGTGAGTGCCAGACTGACTAAATGTGGAAAACTGAGACATATTGTTGAACTTGTATGTATTCATCTTCAGACACCTGCACGCCGTTCATCGTCTGTACTATAAATGGATGTTTTCAGAATGCGCTTGTTTTTCTTTACAGTAAATCAAAGGGAAAATTTGGAGATGTTGTTATTTATGGGCTACTTTGCAATGGGTTTTACTGGTCTGGGCCACTTGAGGTCAGATTAAACTAAAATGAGTTTGACACCCCTGATTTAGAAAATGAAATTATCTTTTAAACAATATATTAAAATGCCAGTGAATACAGCCACCGTCTCTCTACAGATGTGCCACCTATGTGAAAAACTTTAAACAGTGCAGTGTATAAGGACAATGCAATTACATTTTCCCCATAAATGTACTGCATTAACTCTGTAACATCAAGTTGTCTTTTCCATTTGAGTACAGCGCCCTCTGCTGGAAAAGATAAATGTACCATCAAATGTGATTTGATGCACACGCATTTGATGTGAAAATGAAATGTTGTGAAGGAGGTTTTATTTTGTCATTAACAAAAAGGCAGAGTGATTTGGATCCCTGTCCCTGTTTGCATTTCCTTCCCCCTCTTATGACACTGCTTTCGCTCCCACATTTCAATGACATACGAGTCAGGTGCATCTGATAAGTTGCTGTCATGTAAGACAGTGAGTAACCTGATATCTGACTTGTCCAGGGTATTCTATAAGCTTCTGTTCAATGCATGCTGGGATGAGCCTTGGCAACCGCCACCCTCACACTGAACAGAATGAAGGAGCAAATAAAATGTATAAATAAGTTGTGTAATGTTCATCCTGATATATTTATCTCAGAGTGAATTAAAGCTGTCATGCAGATTGCATATTAAAATTTGAGTTTCAGTTTAATTTATCTCTCCATGACTCAAACTTTAAAAGCACATCATATACAAGATATGACTGACAGACATGACAAACTATTGCAAACAGTGCAAAGTTACATACAAGCAGCATGTGACCAATTATGTAATGATCAACAAACTTTCTGCCAACTTACTGCTGACATTTATGAGGTCAAAGTAGAGATAGAATAATCCTTTTGCATCTTTTTTAAGCAGCATTCAGACAAACTCCACAGTGCACACAGCAAGGCGTTATGACATTCACTAAACTTCACACCTTTCTCCAGATTTTATGCAGGCCACCTGCACAACCTTTTCTGCAGCATTCTTCTCTTAAATGTCAAAATTACCATATCAACACATCACTGAATAAGTCAGTGCAGGCAAGCTGAGCTGCACAGAGTCAAATAATGATTTAATTTATTCAGGGTATAGTTTCATTTTCATTTTTTAATTCAAAGTAACTAAATCTAATGTGAAAATAATTATAATAAAATCTGAGAAAACCACTGGCTGGTGAAGTGAGTAACTGATCATTTAGTTACAGTGCAATGTTCTGCTGGGAACCTTGGGTCCTGGCAATCATGTGAATGTTACCTTACACGCTCCACCCGCCCAAGCACCATTGAAGACTAAGTTCCCCTCTTCATGGCAACAGCACTCCCTGATGGCAGTGACAATCCCAAACACTCAATTTATTGAGCTGGGATGGGACTTGCTGGTACCCCACCTCACAATGCACATGAATTGAAGGATCCACTGCCAAGGCCCTAGTGCTGGACACCACAGGACACCCACAGAGGCCCTGTGTCCATGCCTCTTCAGGTCAGAGCCAAGTCTGGTCCAAGGAGGCCCCGCCATGGATTGCAGGTACCTCTGATCAAAATCTGATCAAATGCCTGCATCGTAATGATATGATCAATGTTATTCACTTCAGCTGTCAGTGGTTTTTATGTTGTGGCTGATAAGTGTATACACAAACAATCAATCAGAATATTCGTAAAAGTACCGTTATTATATTCCCATATGTCCTGGACTGTATATAATGTGACAAAATGCAGTTTCTTTGATTAACATTTGTCAGGCGCCAATACAAATTCAACATCTGATACCTTTTTACAATATTGTCTCGAGGTTTTGAAACCTTATTAACTAACTGACTGACACTCATTGCGTACAGTGTACTACTGTGTAATGTGTGGTGTAATAACTTTAAATTTATATATATTGAGGGTTACAGTTGAGGTGCAGGTTTTTAGCTGTTCTTAGGACTGCATTCTTCTGGACAGAGTCCTCAGATGTTGCACCTGGAATCTGCTGGAGCCACTCTCCTAGTTTGTGGGTGCATCACTTATATATATATATATATATACATATATATATACACACACACACACACACACACACACACACACACACTAACCCTTTATTCCTAGTTATAGTACACCCACACTGCTCTTTGTGTCATTTCCGGTAGAACAGTGCTCGTTTGATCAGAGTGAGAGGAGTTGCGAGGATTTATTTGGGAGCGGCCCTTCTCCTGCCCATCTCCTCTGTGGCCGCATCAAGACACCAGCATAAAGCAAGAGCAATACCGGAAATGAGACCAGTTTGCTTTCAAAGTAAAAGCATAGATTTTTTTTAATTTTTTTTTTTATTTTGGAATGTGATAAGAAGCAATCGTACAACATAGTTCTACGGGTTCTGACCAAATGTAAGTCTGTGAAAGTCCAGAGAATAAAATGTTTTTTGTTTCTCACTTAGTGTGTTGTGTTGATGTTGAGAGTGTAAACAGTAAATGTATATATACATGTTCACTTGTGTAGACGTTATAAAAATAATAACGTCACAAAAATCGTAAACCATAGTATTGATAATTTACTACATAATTTTATTACAAAATTAAGCTACCCTTTGAGACATACATTGTTTTGCCTTTCTGTCTTTCTTTCTTTCTTTGTCAGTCTTTAATCCATGTGCTACCCATGCTCACAGTAAGTTGTAATCATAATTTAGAAAACAACAAACACAGATAAACACAAGTGTATTTTGAACACATTTAATAAGCTCACGAGGGAAACATCCAGGAAGTTGTTTCAGTGATCCTTCACTACAGCATTATTGTGCCATCAGCTGTCAGCTCTGTCCCCCTGGGGGTCATCAACGAGTCTTTTATCTTGGGAGTTCAGACCGGAGGTCGCTGTTCAGTCTGATCATGTCAAACTTGACATTAGTGACATCCTAACAGAGCACCAATGGGTGTCTGGTCGCTTCTGTCATTGCGCTGGTCTGTTCCTGGAAAATATTGCTTCATACTCCCATTGACCCTCCTACCGCTGGAACAGCTGCATCAAGCCAGCCAGCACACAGACAGAGTACAGGAAGTAACAAGCCGTCCTTCAGATTAAAGGACGAGCATGTGCTATTATTGAGTAGAAAGGGCAGGTGTGAAGGAGATAAAAACAACAGAATTTAAAACGCTTATCTGATTTACAAAAGTCAGGAAAAGCTGAGTATGAATAAGTAAAAAGTAATTTTAATTTAATTATGATCTTTGAGTATATGGAGCTTTTATTTTGAAATGTACAAAAGGATGCGACATTTTTAAAAAGAGTTAACTTGACACTGATGTGGCCGTACAAAACATACAGTACAGACCTCCCAGCTCCGCGTTTATCCAACTCCTCCGACACATACTGGGAGCAGCTTTTATAAGACGTGTGTAAAATATGGAGGCTTTGTAGTGAAGTGACGGGATTATAGACGCTGGATACTTCCTCCGCCACTCTTTCCCTCTGGACACTTGGACACTCCTTAATTTTTGTTCGCTCGATGTGGACCGAGTTCAGCAGGGATCCCAGCAGACAGTCCCTGGTGGTTTGGTAAGTTAGGACTTTGAGTTTTTCTCCCTAATGATCGATTCCTATGAGTTCCTGTTTAAAAACACACAGTGGCCGTAGAGGGATTTTTTTATTCTGGGCTTCACAGGCTTGTGTGAGTGTCTGTGGCAGCGCGGAGTCGCTTTAAAAATCAACCCACGTAAAACAAAATAAAATGGTAATAACATGGTACCAGCAATACTCCAAGTCAGTGATTCTCAAAGTGGGGTCCGAGGACACCCAGGGGTGCGGGACACTCTGCCAGGGGGGCCATAAAAAAGTTTTCAGATCCATCAAATTATCATGCATAGAAAAAACAAACAAACAAACAATAAGAAAAAAAAAACCATGTTTTTATTTTTTGAAATTTTATTTTATTCTTTTTTTTTAAAGACTGCGTAGTCTAACAAATAATATTTTAATTTTTAACTAAAATAGTTTATAGATTACATTCTAATCTAGTGAAACTATGACTATTTTCTTGTGTGGTTTTTTCCCCCATAACTGTGACTATAGAGGTGTAAAAATAGGCCATAAAGGAGTACATCACAACATATTCAATGATAACCAGTGTAAACTAATCTTTTAAACCTTAAAACACTATAATTAGCAGTTTGTTACGTGTAATCTGGTTTCATTCTGTAGTTATATCATTGAATTATTATGTACAAAAATGACATGATCGTCAGTGGACAATGACACTCTCGAGGGAAGACAATAGCATGCATAAAAGAAGGAGGTAACCATCGTGTCAGCGACCAAGCAGACATACATGCACAAAACAATGAGGCCCACCTGTATTCTAAGCATTTGAAACAAGTTATGATTTCGTACAGGCTTTCTTCGTTTGATTACTTACATTCTTCGTCAAAGAGAATGACTCTTCTGATTCTCTCATCGTGATAATTTACAGAAATAAAATACTATTTGCCATTAAACTGTGAACCCCTGGTGCACCTTCAAAGACCTCCTCTGGTCCTTGAACCCCTTTCACAAACAGCATCAGTCAAACAGTAAGAGATGTTTCAGGTGTCTGTTGAATATATGTGTGAAAATGATCCGTTGCTGTTTGATCCAGCTCTTGTATAATATAAACATTAAGGAACTCTCTCGGAGAAACAACTATGAATGGATCTGAACCAAACTACTGAATAACTGTAACTGATTATTTGTATATACTGAACAAAAGGCAATTTCACTGTCTGTAATAATTCCGTCTTTGTGTTCAGTGTATAGGAAATGGCAACTGCTCTCAGTGGCCGAAACCCTGGAGGACGAGGGCCGAACAGAAGTAAGGGTCGGATTTTAGGCATCATCGATGCAATCCACGATGCAGTGGGGCCGCCGAAACAAGCGGCTGCCGACCGGCGGACTGTGGAGAAAACCTGGAAACTCATGGATAAAGTTGTAAGTTTAGAGTGATAAACCCGACAGGCCTGCATGCCAGATGGTAGTAAGCACATTGTTGTAGATGCACATGGAGAGGTGGAGCAAATGCACATGTGTACTCTGATCATTTTGTGATTGTGTATTCAAATAATACAAGCATGTATTTGATATCCTCTAATGTTACATATTGGCTGGAACATATTTTTCAAACTCTGTAATAACTCATTGATGACACTGATTGAGTTGATACAGTCATTCATGGATTTCTTTGCCACAGGTCCGCCTCTGCCAAAATCCCAGACTCCAGCTGAAAAACAGTCCGCCATACATCCTGGATATCTTACCTGATGCCTACCAGCACTTGCGGCTTACACTGGGCAAATATGAAGAGAACCAGAGACTCACACAGCTCAGTGAAAACGAGTATTTTAAAATCTACATCGACAGCCTTATGAGGAAATCCAAACGGGCCATCAGACTCTTTAAAGAGGGAAAGGAGAGGATGTATGAGGAGCAGTCACAGGACAGGTAAGAGAACTTTTGATAAAGAATCTTGTTTTTGTGCTTTTTTTAACTTCTAACTTTTGAGATGACAGTGGTGTACAGAGGGTCACTGACTTGACCTGCATTGACCCCTCAGTAGAAAACCTCCTTCAAAGAGATGATAATCATGACACTTTCCAGTTACAATGTCAGACAGACAATCTGAAAGCAGTTCAATATAAAACAGTTTTGTTGGTGGTTTCAGCATTAAAATGTTCTGAGGGTACACTCTGTTCAGATCCCCTGGTTCCAGTGCTTCATGCAGTACGCTGTGGGTTAAGCATGCAGTAGATGCTACAGGATGCCCTCTATTCAGCTGTCAGTGCCCTTTTAGAATAATATAATAGACAGGATGTGAGTTGTGTCTGGCATCACTGCACCGCTCGTTTTCTCACTCACTGACAACCATGGTCACAGTGGCAAGAGAAGAGATGGCAGGCTGAAGTCACAAGCGTCTGACTGTCCTCTCTTGGCTGAGCGGGGTTTCCATCAGCATTTTTATTTTGATACGCTGCTGATGGAAAATGTGCTTTTGTGAATGTTTCGTTTCATCAAAACTAAATAAGGCTACATTTCGTCATCTGGGCTCAGCTTTGTACTTCAGATGTGTGTCATCTTAGAGATGGTGTGAACTATCTGACCTCCCACAGCATCAGTTGAATCCACAGTTACTCATATCTGTCACACTGAATTTCAGAACTAAAACGGCCTGGTGATAAAAAGTAGATTTCATAAGCAAAAATACTTCTCAGTTCTAGAATTCAATTCTTTAGTTGCAAGTTGCTTATCTTGAAAGTCATCTAATGATGATCATTTTGGTGTACGCCAATGTTGTCTCACCTCAACCGTGTCATTGTCACGATAGATATTAAAACCTCAGCATGGGTTGACGGCAGAGGTGTTGTGATGACAGTGATGACAGAGGTTTGCCCATTTCACCAGGGCTACAGGAAGGACACCCAGCAGTCCTGTCCCCTCCACGGTCTCTCTGTGCAGGCTGCGACATATCAAACGCAGATTTTGGTGTGTGGCCTGTAACCGTCTGGCATGTCATCTTTACTTAAATCAACCCACTGTGATCGTGATGTGTTAGACATGAGCCTGAGTGACTCAGATTAAAGAGAGTGTGGGAGGTGAAGATGGAGAAGTGAAAAACAGGAGAGTTAGAGAGAGAATAGAGAGCAGAGGCATATTCAGTTTTTTGGTTATCTGTGTTAGCAGCCTATGCTGCTGCACTTGCTTTATGCTTTACCTTATGAAGCACTATATTAAAAAATGTCACATATCTCTGGTACTGGGAGAGTCAAGCTGCTGACACTGCTGACAGGGAGTTTGCCTTTATTAAGTCAACCAAAATATAGAACCATTTTTTTTCCAACCATTTTTTTTGTGATTGTCGCAGCTAAATTTGCTTTGAGCTCACATGATTTCCTCTTTAACGGTGACCTAAATGCATTATGGTCACTTAGTATTGACTGGAGTGCCGAAGGAGAATGAGACCGGATGAATGGGAACTACTAAGTAGTAAATTTGTTTTAGATAAAGTACTCTGTAAAAACAACACAACAGCAAAGACAGAGGACTGCCCCACTGTACACCAGCATATGTTTTGGATCACATGATTTGTCTTTTTTGGAGGCTGTTTCCAAAAAGGAGTAAGGACCAACAAAAGTGAATCTGGTTCCTTATTCATATCATTTATTAAACAGTTAGTGCAAGAGAAGAGCTCGAGTTAATGAGGGGTGTGAAAGGCTCCAGTGATTCTCAGGAGCTCTTTCTAGTTGCCATGTGCAGAGCAGAGGGAAAATCCCCATGCACTTTACATCCTGTTCATATATTTCCTTTCTGGTTCAGCTCTCAAATAGTCAGCCAGCAGATTTTTTTTTATCTATCTGCATGTTAACAGGGTTTACAGTAAACACAGCACATCGCTGCTTTTACTTACAGTAAAAGAGGAGAAATCAGGCATGAATTGTATGTTTCTTTAAACTAAATGTCAAAGTTGAATCACATGCTCACTCATTACGTACACTGTAATTCAGCAGATTTTTGTTTGCCACTTACAGGATAGTTCAAGCTGCAATTCACGTAATTTTCCCAAGAAACACAACACGTCCCTCTGCCACTCACATTTTAGGCAGGTTTTAACAGGCATTACAACAAGTAGGCGTACACGTCTCATCTCCTGCTTTTAACATAGTATCTTTCAGACTTGCATTAGATGTTGAGAGTCATGCAGGATGTGTCAGACGTCTTGATAGATGGACTAAATTTGTTTTGGTATCAGCAGGAGAAGCGCAGTTGTTAAAGCAGAATAAGTTTAAAAATGTAACATCCCACCCTTGATATCCTGACTATATCTCCTGCTTTAAGGGGAAGTACTTTGGGTGAATAGAGCAAAACTAACTTTGCCATTTGATTACTTACATGAGGACATCATTTCATATTACAAGGGTTTTTTTTTTCAAATTTTATGTTTAAATATGCCAATATGGCATTATACAATTAAACACACACTAATTTTGAGACATTTCTGGGACATAAATCTAAATATTGGATAAAGTCCAGCTCAAAATTCTTGTTGCTTTTGTCTGCATGTTAAGAGTCATGGTTTTTTACAAAGGGAATTTTGAAAATCTCTTTTTTTTATTACTCCACAAATAAGAAAAGCCACAAAAAAAAAAATCAATTTTTGCCATGTTTTTAGGAATAAAAAGTCATAAAATTCAGGCTATGAATGATTTATGAAAAAGCCCCTGTGTAAAAACCTTCAGAATATAGAGAGGAATAAAACTGAACAGTTTGGTAAGTGCCACTGAAGCAGAGATTTCTGGCTCAAAGTATGAGAAAGAACTCATTTTGTGAAAATCGTCTATAAGGTTATGTATTGCAAAATCACATATTCAGACAAAAAAATAAGACACTGCAGGTAAATAGGGTACTGACATTACTTTTTATATTACAAGTTTTCTTTTAAATATGCAAATGAGGCATTATACATTTAAATATATTCTCTTTGCAGAAATTTCCAAAACAGAAATCCGAGCTAAAATAAACACCTCAATGTGTATTTTGGATGTTTTCTTTCCAGAAGTCTGAAAGAAGACAAAAATTATGTTTTCATCTGTAGTGTCTCCATTAAATGAAGACTAAAATCAGATTCTTGGTACCACTCATGGACACTTTAGTATGACTGTTCTAGGATTTAATTTCATTATTGACTGGTGTTACTGACTTAATTGCTTTTACTTTCATATGTGAGGGTGAGCTGTTGCTTTGTGGGCAGGTGTTGTTGGACACCACAAGCATAGTCACGCCAAAGGAGACTGACTGAGAAGATTTTTAGCAGCTTCTTTTGTCTGATCCGCTGTTCTGACACACGCTTACAGACATACCACTTCTATTCATGGCTGTGGTGTGGCTCATTTCAGAGGCAGCGGGGTGTCATAGTGAACAGGAAGACCGTTCTTAAACCAGATCTTGTTTTTAAACACAGCTGTCTGCAAGCTTTCTCCCTGTGGACCCTGACCTGCTCCAGGGGTGCTGTTCTAACACTACAGGGATATTTTTGTAAAGTAAATTGCAAGTAAATTATTATAAAAAATACTACAATAAAGTTTTGTTTTTTGAAACAGATGTTTTCTTCATGCATCTTAATCAAATAAATTTTACCCATAAACAACCTGTTATTACAATGGAATCTTACTTTTGTAATTATGCACAAGCCCACTGGCAATTGTTCGATGTGATTCAGGCCACAGGATTATTAACTTCTCAGAGCAGCAGTAAACCTGACAACAAAACAAAATAATACAGTCAAAGCTAAAAACAAAAGGAAGAAGAAGAATGCTGTATTCACCTTCTCAGTGCAATCATGTAATAATGGCAATGCAACAGTGTCTGTAATCACAATGAATTCAATTTCCCTCTGCTACCTGGTTTAATATCTAGGCAACCAAAGCCCACATAAAACACAGTTTGGGATTTTTTTTTTATACAGACCTAAAACATTTCAGACAGTGCAGTGTTAAATGACCATGTTCAGGCTTGCCCTTGTGTATACGTACATATACACCCCCTCATATCCTTCTCCAGGTCATGTTGCTGTGTCATTTTTGGTTGGGTAATATTGAAATTTCCCTACTGATGATATTGCTTTAAAAAAAACAATGAAGTTATTGTGCAAACAAAAGCTGAAGAGAGATGCACATAGATATAAATATCTACGGACTGGAGACTGAATACCTAAAAGTTGCCACAATGTATAGGCAGTAAGCGCTATTTTACACAAGGGCACGCTGAGATCAATAAATCAGATCAGTCAACTGATAAGGTTATTTTTATTCTATATCATGTTTAACCGCCCTCGTACAGTCTTGCCATCGTTGACTGTCAAGTTTGGTGCGGCTGTTCTGTGGATGGAGTTGGTTACAGACTAGCGTATTCTGTTGGATTAGGGGTGGTCGATATATTGATTATACTCAATGTATCGCTGCTTGTTCCTTGTGGGATGTATAAAATGATGATATCAAAAATGATAAATTACACGCGGTTCTTCTTCCATCTAGACCACTAGCTCCTGACTGATAGTGTCTGAGCAGGCGAAGTGTGTGTTTTTGTATCCAGAGGACTCCAGACTCTGACTATTAAGTAGATTTTTGCAACCATGGAGCACCAGTGCAACTTGTACATATAATTAATATATGAACTGGAGAGCTGTTAGTTTGTTTCCAGCTTACAGTGAATAAATCATCACTTTATCAATCAATTTAACTTTCTGCCAACATCTAACTGTTGACTGGAAGCTTCAAGTTCACAGCATGGACATCAACACCTCTGACATGAGACAAGTGGGGTGCTTCAGAATAAAAGCACCAGTGGTTCCACTTTGATTTATTTAATTATAACAATGCGTAATTTAACTTTATTATAACAGTAATTTATTTTATTGTATCATAATTACTTGATTTTAATTTTATCATGGC